TAAAACATTGAAGCAATTAACTAACGAACCTTTTTTCCCAAATTGTTTGGTTTCCATAGATTGTCAGGATCCGGCCAGCTGCCCGGAAGATTTTTGTTTTGTTGTTGTTGTTGTTGCTGGTCCGTCATGCCTGGTTCTCTCTGGCTGACTGACGGAATGTATTCTGTCTGAAAAAGCGTCTTTACTCTTGGCTCTTTTCAATTTTATTTTATTATTATTATTATTTTTTTTTTTTTTGTCTTTTCTGTGGGCGTTAAAGAATCACAATTGGGGCATTCATAATGGTTTTTTGTTTTGGTTCATTCTTTTCGAAGTACGCTTCATCCAAATCAGGTTTTCAGGCAAGGTACCGTTTTCTTCATTCCTCGGCTAAAATTGCTGCTGGCGCCACCGGTGCATTGCTTTTGGGCGGTGCCACCGTGGCCTTATGTTATTTTCCCTCGGGACAAAAGGTCACGGAGGCACCCCCGTTTGATGTGAACTCACTAAGAAGGGACATTGAAGAAATACTCTCCGAGGACATGTCTAAAGGACCTCTTTTTGTGCGACTCGCGTGGCACGAGGCTGGATCATGGGACTGCCGGAAAAAGGATGGGAGTCCTAATTCCGCTTCGATGCGATTTCACCCAGAGTGCAGCTATGCCGGCAACAAAGGGCTTGATAAAGGACGAAATGCGCTGGAATCGCTCAAGAAAAAGTACCCGAAAATTTCATACGCCGATTTATGGTCCTTCGCAGCGGTGGTGTCGATTGAGGCGATGGGCGGCCCGGAGATTCCGTGGCGGTGGGGGCGCGTGGATGCAAAGGACGGCAGCGTTTGTGGCCCCGATGGGCGTCTCCCTGACGCATCCAGGATGCAGGATCACGTGCGGGATGTCTTTTCACGTCTTGGCTTTAATGATGAAGAAACTGTTGCCTTGATCGGGGCCCACACATGTGGTGAGTGCCATCTGGAGAACACGGGCTACGTGGGTCCGTGGACGCACGACAAGTACGGCTTTGACAACTCCTTTTTTACGGAGCTTTTTGGCAACGAGTGGATGCTGAACCCCAATGTGAAGAAAATGCAGTTCATGGACAAAACCACTAATCGCCTTATGATGCTGCCCGCTGATGTTTCCATTCTTCTGGACGACAAATATCGCTCCATCGCGAAGAAGTACGCGGACGACAATGATTATTTTTGCAACGCCTTCAGCAAGGCTTATCAGAAGTTGCTTGAGGTTGGAACCACCAATCTCAAGTCTCTCCCAGCAGAGTCAAAATAGGCAAAGTGAAGAATATAACAGCATACACAAGGGTTGTTCATGTATAAATAGTTGATCGGGCCCGGGTTCAAAGTTGTCGTCGAATGTTATCTTTTTATTGCTTTTTATTTTATCTAGTGGCAAACGACTTTTATTATTACCATTATTATTATTATTATTATTAAGCGGATACCACACCTTTTTTTTTTTTAGTGTGTGTGCGTCTGACGACCTATGTTTTGCAATGCTATTGTTGAGCTTTTTTGTGTCGATTGCGTTGTCGCTTCAGGAAAACGAAAATAAAATGAGTGGACAAAAAAAAAAACACAAAAAGCATATCCAAAAAGTAAAATGAAAAAAAGAAGGAAAATTACCACTTTTTATGAAATTAATTTTTTTGGTGAAAAAGATTTTTTTTTTCTTTTGGAAAGCCCCACTTCTGTGGGAAATGTTTACGATATTACGGGGAAACAAATGCCAGGAGGGGACGGGTCTAAGTTTTGAGGCCCTGGTGCGCCCGTTTTTTTTTTTTTTTTTGAAAAGCGAAAGTTCGAACGGGGTGGCTGTTAAAGAAAAAGAAATAAAGGGTGGTGGTGCCTCAACGCCGGTGCGAGGGCCCCCGGGAGACGTGCGGTGTGGACCCCAGAGGAGTTTTTTGACGTGAATGTATTTTGCCCCCTGTTTTTTTCCCAATTTTTTTTTTTATTTTCCTGGACAGATATAAGCAAGAAGAGGTGGTTTGAGATTAGTTTATTGGGTTTTTTTTTTTTTTTTTTTTTTTTTTTTTTTTTTTTTTTTTTTTTTTTTGTGGGAGAGAAGGGGGGAGGTTTTTTGACGACCTCTGCCCGGACTAGAGACGAGCGGAATGTTTTGAACCGCACGGTGTGGCACTGCTTGGCTTCTTTCACACACTTCTTATCCTTCTCCCCCATAACCGGGGTCTAAACGGGAGAGTTTGAGTCGAAGGAAACCGTCACGGTCAATGAGTACGTCGGAGAATCGCTGCCGCTTCCAAAAGGAGATGGACATATTTTTTGATACGCTTCGAGAACGAACGCTGCGGGACCACCCGCAAGAATTATGTGAATATTTAATGGAGAACGCCAAAAAGGTTGCAGCGGAATTGAGGGGGGAAGTGTGCGAACGCATCCCCGATGCTGTCTCGCCGGAATTGCGGGGTCGGGCCCTCATCATCGTGGTACTCGGTGCAAGCGGGGACTTGGCCAAAAAGAAGGCCTTTCCGGCGCTTTTTCAGCTATACTGCAACGGCATGCTACCTCGGGATGTCAACATTCTCGGGTAAGCCCGCCCCACAATGGAGGATGTGGAAAAGTGGAAAAAGGACACTCTTGCCGGATTCTTTACTCGTCTGGATGAGCGCGGATTTCATGTGGGTAACTTTTTGAGACGGATCAGTTACATGACCGGGTCGTATGATCGCGACGAGGACTTTGCACGCCTGAACGAGAGGATTCTTCGGATGGAAGAGGCCTTTCAGGGGCCGGAAAAAGGGGGAAATCGCCTTTTTTACCTTGCGCTGCCACCTTCCGTTTTTGTGGGCGTTTGCCGGGGTCTCAGCAAAGGGGCGATGCAAAAGCCAGAATTGGGTTGGGTCCGTCTCATTGTTGAGAAGCCCTTTGGCCGGGACACGGAGACCTCTGAGCAGCTCTCAAATCAGCTGAAGCCTCTCTTCAATGAACGCCAGGTATTCCGCATTGACCACTACTTGGGGAAGGAAATGGTGCAGAATATTATTGTCACCCGTTTTGCTAACCGCGTTTTTAGCGCGCTGTGGAACAGTAACAGCATTGCATGCGCCCAAATTACATTCAAGGAGAAAATCGGCACGGCGGGACGTGGTGGGTACTTTGACAGTATTGGAATCATCCGTGACGTATCCAGAACC